CTTCGATGTACGGAACTTGGCGATGCTTTTCCTATATATATATATATATATATATATATATATATAATACATACATACATATATATATATATATATCTATATATATGTAATACATATATATATTATATATATATATATATATATATATATATACATACATATATATATATATATATATATATATATATTACACATACACAGCCCTTAATGTTAGCCCTATCATAGACGGTTGCTGTATGGGCAGTACCCAATTTAGCGGTATGAGGGCTTTTTTGTTCAGCTTTGGAGGTTTCGGGTTTAGGATTTGGGGTGCTTCAATTCTTGTGGGGCCCAGAGGGGAAATAGCAGCACACAGGAGGCAGACCTTCACAGTTCTGGGCTTCTTGGAAGTATAGGGATGCTCTTTATTCCCCGAAGAGCAACAGGGAAACAACAAGTTGAAGCGCTAAGCCTCAAACCCTGTATAATAAACCCCGAAACTCAAAACACAACGCCGTAAACCCTAAACCCTAAACCCTAACCCCTAAACCCCTAAACCCCTAAACCCTAAACCCTAAACCCTAAACCGTACCTGAACCTGAAACTTCGTGAACCCTCCCAGAAGAACACCGAGGTGCTGAAACTCTGCTTGGATGGGCCCGAGGCAAGAAGGGCGAACGTGCATAGGAGGCACCGTATCTTTGAATCCGAAAGGCCTCACATAAAAGTCTGAGGCATCACTAACATTATCGGTTCAGGTTCCTTCCATCACTGGCATTGTCGTTATATTGTTGTTACTGTCCCTGCTACTATAGTACATTCAACCTCAAAAGCCCCCTTCTCATTCTAAGTTTTCAGGCCCCCCAAAACCCTAGCCGCTAAACCCCTAAACCCCTAAACCCTAAACCCCAACCCCAAGAAACCCCAAGATTGGAGATCCGGGAGCCGAAGAATCGTAAGGGGGAAGCTTTGTATGGCGTGGGGTTTAGGGTTTACGGGTTTAGGGATTTAGGGTTTAGCTTAAGGTTTAGGGCAGTTTAGGGCCTTTAGGAATAAGCGTAAGTGTTGGGTTTTATGGTGGGGGTATTGGCGCATAGTAACACCTACTTCGCATGAGCCCGTGAACCTGTTGCGCTCGTGGCAGGACAAGCTTGAGTCCACCAAGTACTGCCAGCCAGTCATGTGCGCTTGCCCGGGTGAAGGGCTCTGCCTGAAAGATCAGGGCATCCAAGTAATGAAGTTTTCGCATGGTGGGAGAAGAGTCATAGTAAATGCAGTAGCCCCAACAAGGGCATTCAAAAGCCTAGTGAAATATACAAACCCTAACGCGCTACACAATCCTGCAAGGATCCCCTACAAAACAATTCCTTTTTCCTTCGAAGAGGGCGGACCCGCACCAGTCGAGGAAAGGTATTTTTTATCATGCTAATAATAAGATTCCTTTAAAAGGGTCCTTTAAAGAGTTCCTATAAGGGATCTATAATGGGTTCTAGGGCGGATTGACCGTCCAGCTCCAGTCTTGGGCAAGGCGTGAGGCAACTGTGTAGAGTGGAGGGGTCACAGCCCTCCCATACCCTCCCGGAATGCTGAAATCGCACCACGAACCGTGGAGGTTGAGACAGTGGGAGGACCAACTGTGTTAGCACTTGCTTCCGTTGCTATCTTCTCGCCTGAAAAACGGCTTCCAGTCACTTCAAAGTATCATTCAATGCCAAAGCCGAAAGGCCTGGACCAGCTTTATTCGGGGCTTTAGGGGTATGTGGGTTTAGGGATTCACATCATGTTTCAAGGGTTTTAGGTTTTTGGGGTGCTTCCTTCGTAACTTCAACCGACATCACAAGCCCACAGCTCTCCTCTTCCTGTCTTAACCCCCACATGAGCACGTTATCCCGACCCCGATATGAACAGCTCAAGGCTGGAAGGTGCCCTGAAAAAAGCGAACCACACAGCCCTCGCTCGATTTTGGGACATCGCCTTTACGTGGGTCCCCTCCCGGTGTCATGACAGGTCTCGAGCCCTCACCAGCCCCAAAGTCCTCGGCCGTGTAGGGTTTATGGGTTCATGGAGTTTGGGGCTTTGGGGGTTTTTCTGCACGGGAAAGACGCCCTAAACCCTAAATCCTAAACCCCTAAACCCCTAAACCCTAAACCCCTAAACCCTAAACCCTAAACTCTTAAACCCTAAGCCCTTAAACCCCTAAACAGTGATGAGCCCGACCCACGAAGCCTGCTTGGAGGATCATGGGACTTAGTAAGTAAGGTTATAAGCCCCCTAATTGGGGTTATAAGTACTTATAAGTATAATTACCTTATTTATAACCCTAGTTACTAAGTCCCATGATCTTTTAAGTAGACCCTAAAGCCCCTCTTATAATAGAACCCCTATAGATCCCCTTTAAAGGAGCCCTTTAAAGTATAACCCTAGTTACTAAGTCCCATGATCCTTTAAGTACGGCAGGTACATTGCGGGCCTCGCAGGCCACTGCCTCGCCTCTGCTTTGTGCCCGTGGTTGAAGACTCCTTGGAGACGTGGTTTTAGGCTTTAGGGTTTTAGGGTCTAGGGTTTAGGGTTTTTAGGGTCTGGGTTTAGGGTTTTAGGGTTTAGGGTTTAGGGGTTTAGGGTTTAGGATTTTAGGGTTTAGGGTTTAGGGGGATGTCGCCTTCACTTGCAAATTTGCAACCGTGACGCAACGCAGCCGTGCCACCCTCAAGCCGCAAGGCCTTGGTATGGGGCCCCCAAAAAACACATAAGCAAAAATTAGGATAGGGATATCCCATATAAACCCCCTTATAATGAAGCCCAATAAGGTAGGGATATCCCCATATAATGCTTATGCTTATGTGCTTTTTGGGGTCCCTATGGTAGCTTTAGAGGTGGGCCGGCTTCGATCCTCTGACCCCAAACCCGTGGCCCGAAAAAACCCACCCTGTTTGAGCAAGCTTACGTGTATATACAGATCAAGAATATAGATATAAAAATAGGTATACGTATAGATACAGATTTAGAGAAATATAGATTTATATATAGAAATAGGTATAGATATAGATATAAGTATACTGCTGTTTCGGGCGAAGAGTCGTAGCGACGCGGCCCTTTGGCTTGCATCTAATTAGGGAATCCTCGCGCAGAAATCTGGACACGTACCAGTATGCGCTAAGGCTGGGAATCACATGTTCGAGGATTTAACTGGCGCCTAAGGCAGAAAAGCCATCCCCGAGCACATGCAAAATCAAGACAAGACGGAGCCAACATCAAAGTTAAAGCAGCACTCCTGCAGATCTTCAGGCTTTGCCAAAGAAGGCCACGGACCTGGCTGATTCAAAGCGCCTGGTATCCCTTGCGGGCTACCAAAAAGCCACCGAGAACAGAACCCTGGAGCAGAAATCCACGACTACAGTAGTGACTGGTGGTGTGCTCTCAGGGTAACAAACGGAAGAGCAGGACACGATCACCCGAAAGCGGAAGGTATTCCTCCAAACCGGGCTCCTGAGAGGCCATCCAAACCGCCGGAGCCCTCAACGCGGCCACAAAATGCGCACAGTGACAGCGTTTACACGCACTGGGCCGCGGAAAAAGTAACCAACTGTCCAAACACAAAAACACTAAGCAGCAAGGGTGAGTGCAAAATCATGTCCAAGGAGGCGAGCGGTGCAGCTGCGGTTCCGCGCAGTTCCGCTCAAAATGCATAATTACTCGCAGGATGTGGCTAGGGTCATATTCCACATTCCAGCCGGCAGCCCTACTCGGCTAAACAGACAGCAAGCAATACCTTGGCAGGTTCGTTCTTACTGCTCTGTAAATTTGAATTACCCCTCATCAGCATTTGACGTCGGAAACCAAGCAATCTCGAAACTCCGTCACGTAGCAGCTGCTGTTCCAGGGTGACCGTCAGGATCTTGACGAAGATCTGCATGCCGCCTCGAAAGTGCGGTGCCAAGTGAAGGGTCGATTCCTTCTGCAGGTTGTAATCCGAAAGAGTACGGCCGCCCTCAAACTGCCTGCCAGCAAAAATCAGGTGCCGCCTTGACAGTGTCGAACGTGCCACTGGCCTCAACATCCAAGGTGAGCGTCAGGATCCTTCTGCAGGTTGTAATCCGAAAGAGTACGGCCGCACTCAAACTGCCTGCCAGCAAAAATCAGGTGCTGCTGGTCGGGCGGGATGCCTGCCTTATCTTGGGACTGCGCCTTGACAGTGTCGAACGTGCCACTGGCCTCAACATCCAAGGTGAGCGTCAGGATCTTGACAAAGATCTGCATGCCGCGTCGCAAGTGCGGCGTCAAATGAAGGGTCGATTCCTTCTGCAGGTTGTAATCCGAAAGAGTACGGCCGCACTCAAACTGACTGCCAGCAAAGATCAGGTGCTGCTGGTCGGGCGGGATGCCTGCCTTATCTTGGGACTGCGTCTTGACAGTGTCGAACGTGCCACTGGCCTCAACGTCCAACGTAGTCGTCTTGCCTGTCAGGGTCTTGTCAAAGATCTGCATGCCGCCTCGCAAGCGCGGCACCAGGCGAAGGCGTGCCTTCCATGGGCACTGGGGCTACCGATAGTTCCGCGCTGCTGCGGCCATTCGAGCCCTATATAAGTATACATATAGATATAGATAGACGCAACAATAGAAGGAAGGTATGGCCCTGCTTCTGGAGGTCTTCTTTTGCGAGGGCTCCGAGCTTGGCGGTTCTGAGAGGATCGGAGTAGAGACCTGCACCTAATACTAGGATTCCTTTTAAAAAAGGAGGTCCTTTGAAGAGTTCCTGTAAGGGGATCGATAATGGGGTTCCATAATATAGGGGCCTCGATCATTACCAAGACTATTTTGGGGGCTCCTTATTATAATTGTAGACTAGTGGGCCCCAAAACCCTATTCTAATTGTTCCTATACTCAGATGAGATGGACCAGGAAAAAGTATCGGAATAGGGGTTTGGGCATCCCATACTTTCGGTATGGCAAAGGACCCTCAAGCCTAGCAGCTCAGACACACCTAAACTCTAGACCGCAAAACTCTGCGAGCCTCCCGGGCCATGTCCCTTTCGCTGAGCGTGGCGCTTCTGAGCGGTCTGGGCACGAAGGTGTCTTTGAGCCCCCGGTCGACAGTCGAGCCACGGCATTATGGTGCCAGAGTAAGTAATCCACGGCGACATGAGATGCTGGACTTGACGTCGTCGACTACGACTACGACTGCTCCGGCTGCTGCCGCTACTGCTGCTGCTGCTGCTCCTGCTACCGCTACTGCCACTGCTACGGCTACCACTACCACTACCACTTCCAGTCACTACCATTACCCCTACCCCTACAACTACCCTTACAACTACCCCTACAACTACCCCTACAACTACCCCTACAACTACCCCTACAACTACCCCTACCACTCCCACTGCCACTACCACTGCCACTCCCACTGCCACTACCACTGCCACTACCACTTCCAGTACCACTGCCACTATCACGCCCTCCTGTCCCACCCTTGGTAGCATACTCAAAATCAACAGCGTTACACAAGTATGGCCGCACAATCTTCTCGACTGTGGGTCGGCCGCAACCCTGCTGGAACTGAGGACGAGCTACGACGGGAGGCCCAAACAGCCACCTGGACTCCAAGGGTAACAGGAGGGACCCTTAATAAGGACCCCTAGGTATATACCCTTAATATAGCTATTATATACCCATTATATAGCCCATTATAGGGTAGGGGTCCCCATTAAGGGTCCCTCCTTCTCCCCTTTGATGGACTGGGTTTGTGGAGTTTCTGGTCGTTGCTCCTGTTACCACCACGACGACCACCTGAGTGAATTTTGCCAAGAAGAACCAGCAGAACCTCGAAACACCCGAGGCATTGGGCTGCTACTTGAGCCACTTAATCGACGATTCCGGAGAGTGCTTGCCTGGAGCCATGGACACAAAAGCAAGCTTGTCGTGGATAAGCACTTGGCGCTGGGGGGATCGATTTGTGACTTTGGGGCTTGAGGTTGAGGGACGCAGCTAAGCGGCTATAGACGTGTTTACGCGGCCTGGTCACCTGAGAGCTGCGTGTGCTGATTCTCGATGCCCGTTTCATACCAACGATCAGATGCATGCAGACGTCCTAGCCCATCCACACTACAACCAAAACACGAAGATTTTAGGCACTGAAACAATCAGCCCGGAGGAGGAATCGAGCTCGAAGCAGCTGGTCTTGCTGATGGCGACACAGTGAGCGCCATCGTCCGCCACACCCAACTCGCATCCACTCATACAGCTTTCGCGCTGCTGAGGTGCGACGGCACTGTGGTGACGTGGGGAAGTGCGTACCAGGGCGGTGATAGTGTCGCTTTCCAGTCTAAACTGAAAGATGTTTCGAAGATCTACTCTTCGGATTACGCTTTCGCTGCAGTACGCAGCGATGGGTCCGTCGTGACTTGGGGCAATGCTGGTGCCGGTGGCGACAGTTCATCTGTCCAGGAGATGCTGAAGAATGTTCGGCAGATCCAAGCATCCAGCCACGCCTTTGCTGCTGTGTTGGCAGATGGCTCTGTGGTGACCTGGGGCAACAGTCGCTGCGGCGGTGACAGCAGCGCTGTGCAGGGGCAGCTGGTGCAAGTGCAGCACATCTGGGCCTCCAAACAAGCCTTCGCCGCATTGGCTGGAGGCCTGGCTGCAGGAAACTCTTCTCTTCCAGCCTCTGATAATATAGGGGCCTTAATAATGATAATAGGGTTTTAGGGACCAGTACTATATAACAAAAATCATCAAGAACCCCCAAAACAGCACAGGTAATGATAAAGGCCCCTATATATTACGTCCCAGACCGAATGTGGATCAAGAGCAAGCTAGACTCTACGTCCGAAGCCCAACAGGCTCGAAGCTGCAAGGGAAGCCTTGATCCCACCCTAAACCCTAAACCCTAAACCCTTAGTCCCGAAGTCCCAAACTCGGAAGTTTGCAAGGCTTGACGCCACCAAAAAAGATAGGGTTTAGGGCCCTTCGGTTTAGGTTTTTAGGGCCCTTGCAACTCATTTTTTGCCAAGACGGACAGGCGGTTCGCTGGTCACCTGGGGCAGCGCAGCCGCGGGCGGCGATAGCGAAGCCGTTCGGGTGCAGCTTGCGCAAGGTGCTCGGAGGGTTGCAGCTCGTGAGACGTGGCGTGGGCTGGGCCAGCCAATGCTTTTTCAGGTTCAGGGTTGGAGTTTTAGGGTTGAAGAAGCAGAAAGGCTTTGAATCAATCTTGATTTCACTCGCTGGCCTACTCTCCTTTCAGATCTTGGCGGGGTGTTCGTTGTTGCAACTGCTGCAACTTGGTGCTTCGGGGACAGGGGGGGGGAACCAAGCAAGCGCTAAACCCCACACCCTAGAGCCCAAAGCCTCGACCCTACGCCCTGACGCCTATGGAAACCATTCTCAGCCTGCCCTATCTGCAAAAGTTCGAGGGGGCACAAGCTTTCCAAACAGACCCTCAACCCTAAACTTCAAACAGTTTGCCCCTAGGACTGTGCAGGCGAAGAAGAACCCTTAAAGAAAGCAAGCCGTTGGATGTTCATTTGAACATTGGCCTCTTCCAACTTCCCCAAATCCTTAATGTTGCCTTGACGGATCAAGGACTCTGTACGTAGCTTAGAGGGTTAGAAGTGCAGTTTCTGAGTTGTGGTACTTGTAAAGCCCTAAACCCTAAACCTTCAGCCCTAAACCCTAAGCCCTAAATCCTAGACGCTAGACCCTAAACCCTAAGCCCCTAAACCCTAAACCCCAAACCTAGATAGACCTGGAGATAGATCCCTGTAAGGAACCCTTATGGATCACTTTAAATGAGCCCCAGTTGTCGGAAACTCCCATATTGCAGGTGTGCGACAGATGGCGGCTTCCGAGCTCGCGTTCGGGGCTGTGCTCTCGGACGGCTCGGTGGTCACCTGGGGCGATGGCGACTCTTAGCAGCTGAGTGGATACACTTTTCCCGGTTTAGAGTTGAGGGTTTAGGGGTTTAGGGTTTAGGGTTTAGGGCATATTTACCCACTATAAAACTGAAAGTGTACACTTTTTGGGGCTTATGAACTCAGCAACTAAGGACTATGGCGGGGACAGCAGTGCCTCGTCGGGAGTAGAGCGACTGAGCATGAAGCTGTTGCTCGGAGTTTCTCCATCTCGGTACTGCCACGCCCTAGAACCCTAAACCCTACGACTACTACAGGAGCATAATTACCTATGCTATGTTGGGGTTCCTTATTATAAACAATAGTGTAATACACCCCAAAACCCTATTCTAATTATTCAGGCCCCAAAATTGTAGAAGCCTTATAGATTCTTTTTAGACCCCTTAAAAAGGAGCCCTTAGAAGGAACCCCTCTTCTAAATATTAACACGTCTTGAGGCTTTGACTTGGTGGGGCTCAGCGCAGCGGGGCTTCCCGATCTCCCACGGCCTAAGCCCCAAGACCCTCATAACCTGCAGCATCCTTTAGAAGCTGCCCCCACCCTGTAATAGTGGTATAATGGAAATATATTAGGGCCCTAATATAATCATATATAATCCTTATAGTCACTATTACAGGGTGGGGGCAGCTGCTAAAGCATCCTGCAGCCTAGCCCTCAATCTTAGAGGGGTTTAGGGTTTAGAGTTTACAGCCTGCAGCCTAGGCGCCGGATCCTGAATCTTAGAGGGGTTCTGTTAAGTTTAGTTCCACAGGGGGTCTAGAAGGGCTCTGTGAGGTGCTACAAGCGTTCTCATGCAGTCCCTGTTTTAACTTTTAAACCCTAAACCCTTTAACCCCAAAGTCCCCTCGAAGCTGTGAGCTTGTTTAAGAAACCTTGGGCCTTTATAAGGGTTCCTGATATGAGCCCTACTATTTTGGGGACATAGGCCCAGGGTTTCTTAATCAGACACGTACTATCATGGGACTTAGTAACTAGGGTTATAATTAGGGTAACCCCAATTAAGGTACTTATAACCTTACTTACTAAGTCCTATGATCCTCCAAGTAGGTGCCGTACATGACCAGCTGCAGTCGGTTCGGGCGCTGCGGGCTTCCCAAGGCCCCATCGGCTGCCTGGATCGGGTTTAGGGGTTCAGGTTTTTTTTGGGTTTAGGGGTTAGGGGTTCAGGGGATTAGGGGTTTAGGGTTTAGGGGTTAGGGGTTTAGGGTTTAGGGGTTTAGGGGTTCAGGGTTTTTGGGGTTCAGGGGTGTAGGGGTTTGGGGTTTAGGGTTTGGGGTTTAGGGGTTTAGGGGTTTAGGGTTGCGGGCCTAGCGTCTCGGGTTCAGGTGACAGGTTCTTGCCAAGTTCTGGGATCGCCGACCCCGAAGCAGGAAGTCTCCGGCCAAAGCCGTAAGGCGAAGGTGCCGATCAGCTATGGGTTCAGGGTTTAAGGTTTAGGGTTTAGGGTTTAGGTTTAGGGTTTTAGGGTTTAGGGTTCAAGGTTCAGGGTTTAAGGTTTTGGGGGTTTCTGTTTGGGTTTAGGGATTAAGGCCAAAGGCAACTGGCTTTTGGGGCTGAGGGTCATAGGAGGCCACAAGGGGTTTTCTCACTCTCCACAGGTCTTGAGCTTGGGGGCAACTTGGGGGATTTTTTCTTTTTGTGATACTCCTTATGGCCTCATAGAAATATTGGTTGATGAATGATGTTGAGGCCTTCAGATTTCAGTGCAGTAAAGCCCGAAAAGTCATGAGCAACACAGGCTTGATGGAAAGCGACCCTAAACTTTAAACCGTAAACCCTAAACCCTAAACCGCCCTAAACCCAAAACTCTGGACCCTCCGCTCCCCAAGCTAGGTTTCTGAGTGATACCCTTGTGCCATTTTTGTTCCAGGGCACGCACCTTTTGAAAACCGTCAGGAACCCTAAACCCTATACCTTAAACCCCAAACCCAAAACCCTAAACCCAAAACCCTAAACCCTCAAGACAGAAATACATAGAAATTGCTTGTCTTTGTTTGTAACCCCAGCCGCGGCCCAGCAGTTGGGTTCAATAACGGAGCAAGTGTATCGATAAACCAAACCAAATTCTACAGAACCCTCACAGACTTTTGGGCCTTTTCCAGACCCCCTCCAAGCCCCCAATTATTTTTTAGACTTGGCTTTCTTTAGACTTGGCTTTCTTGGCCTTTTCCAGACCCCTTCCAAGCCCCCAAATGACTTCCTCCAAGCCCAAAATTTGGCTTTTTGGCCTTTTCCAAACCCCCTCCACGTCTCAAAATTTGGCTTTTTGGCTTTATCCTTTTCCAAACCCCTTCCAAACCATCAAATTTGTTTTTTTGGCCTGTTCCAGACCCCCTCCAAGCCACCAAATTTGTTTTTTTTGCTCTTTTCCAGACCCCCTCCAAGCCTTCAAATTATTTCCAGATCCCCTCCAAGCCCCCAAGTTTAGCTTTTTGGCTTTTTCCAAGGCCACCAAATTTGGTTTTTGGGCCTTTTCCAGACTTCCTTCAAACCACCAAATTTGGTTCTTGGGCTTTTTCCAGACCTCCCCCGCCAGCCCAGCCGCGCAGCCCCAGCCAGGCCCAGCCAGCTTCAACCCCAGCCCAGCCCTAGCCCAGCCCCAATTTGGTTTTTTAGGGCCGCCAAGCAGGGCGGCCAGAAGTGGCGCTAGGGACAGCACGGGGCCGCGTCCGATCGGGGCCTGGACGCGGCACCCGACCCGAGCCCTGCCAAGCGGGTCAGGCTCACCCCGGCAAGCCATCGGGCGACCGCATCATCGTCCTCTCTTGTTTTTTTGCTTTCCCCAAACCAAGCCCCCAAGTTTGTTTTGTTTTTTGTTTTTTTCCAAGCATCTTTTTTGGCTTTTTGGCCTTTTCCAGACCCCCTCCAAGCCTCGTTTTTTTTTTCAGTCCTCTTCCAAGCCATCAAAGTTGCGTTTTGGCCTTTTCCAGACCCCCTCCACGCCCCAAAATTTGGCTTTTTGGTTTTGTCCTTTTCCAGACCTTTTCAAGCCACCAAAGTCCCAATGCCCCAGACCCCACGAACCCACCTGCCAGCCCCAGCCCCAGCCCCAGCCCCAGCCCCAGCCCCAGCCCCAGATCCAGCCTGCTTTTCAAAAAACCCGAGCTTCTACAGAGTTTTTGCAGCCAGTTGCCGGGTGAAGTTGATGTCCAAACAGCCGCATGGTGGCAGAGCTGTTGTCGTGCACTTGCTGCAATCCACTCGGAGGCAGGATGTGGGGGCTCTTCCTGGTCGAGGCTCTGGCACACAGCAGCAAGTCTGAAGCTCTCTGCGGAATGGTTTCGGGATCCAGGCCTTCTTTGCATCAGACCTTGGACAACGCGTCGTCTTGTCCACAACTCAGCCCCAGCCAGAGCCCCAGCCCCAGCCCCAGCCCCAGCCAGCCCCAGCCCCAGCCCCAGCCCCAGCCCAGCCCCGCCCCACCCAAACAAACCAAACCCAAATTCGCTCCGCCCCCACCAGCCCAGCCCAAGGAAAAACCCAGGCTCCAAATCCCAACCCAGCCCAGCCTCCCGGCTCGCCAACTGAAAACCCAAGTTCAAAAGGGAAACCCTGTCAAAACTTTCGGTCAACACGTTTCGGTCAAAACTTTCGGTCAAAACATTTCGGTCAAAACGTTTTTGGCACCCAGACCCTTAACAATTTCTATAAACCCAAAACCCAAAACCCTAAACCCAAAACGTCGGCGCTCCAATCGCGGAAAGTAAGAGTGAATTTGCAGCCTTGAGCCTCATAAACCCCAACACCCCGCCCCCCCTCCCGCAAAAAAACAAAGAGAATAACAATTCAATGCTTGATATTTAGTACCTCGTCATGGGACAAAACCTATGTCTAATTGGAGCTCCTCTGCCGGAGCCAATCCCGGCCCAGAAAAACACTCTTTAGATGTAGTCCCTTGTCTAAATGTGATGTCCGGATTAAATTGAGGCACCCGGGTCGTGGCCCCCAAAAAACATCTTTCTGGCACCATATACTTGACAGACATGTTTCATGATTATCCGAGCGTGAAGCAAAGCGGGCCGTACATCCTGCCCAACGTCCGTTTCCAGCTCGAGGTGCCCAAATTGTGCCAACGGGAAGCTTGCACCCAGCATTGCAACCTTGTCCTTGACTAAAGGCACCGGAGATCAGCCTGGACAAGACCATCCTCGGCGATTTCTTCGTGTTGGCTCCGGAAGTCAAGCTTCGCTGGAACGAGGCTGCAACGTGGTACTATGCTCTGACGCCGCAATCGTTTGAAGCGGCTGTCAGGCAGACGATCCGAAGATGGACGTCGACATGAGCGCGCAGGATCACTTTCTTGTTTCTTCTCATGTTGGCAATCGACTCGGCTAGGCTGGCTGTCTGATTTCTTGACTGCTGTGAGTCGGAGGTCCTGCAGCGTGGCCCACTCATGCGCCTCAACCGGCTGTCAGTGCCTGCGGCGCACTACGAACGGCCGTGCGAAGCCAGAAGGGCTGCTGGCTACTGCAATTTGCGTGTCGCACGGCTTGCAAAAAGAGCACAAACGCATGTCGCACAATGTTTGGTAATGCTACATGAAGATTCCTGCATCTGCATTTGTGAGGCGCTGAAGGGCAGTAGACAGTACGGGCCGTTGGTTCGGAAATGCTTTCAGGATACAAACGCACACCTGTGAGGTTGGCGGCTGTGGGAGAAGGACGCGAAGTGCCGAAAGAACGACATGAAGCCAAACCGTAAACCCAAAACCCTAAACTTTTAAAACCTAAACCCTAAACCCTAAACCGTAAACCGTAAACCCAAAACCCTAAACCCTAAAACGTAAAACCAAAACCATATATAGACGTTAAACGAGCCTGAACACGCCAGGGGCCTTCGCCGCCCTTCGCAGCGATGGATCCGTGGTGACCTGGGGATGCTAGGGCTGATTTCATCCAGAATTTCGGGAGGATCTAGAAAGTAGATGCGCTAATTTGGGGCCCTATACTACTCAGGGTACTAGGGTACTTCATAGGAGCCCCATTAAGAGATCTACTTTTTGGATCCTCCGGGGGTCTGGGCAGGTATGCCCCCCAGGTTTTGGGGCTCAGGGGTTTCGGGTTTAGGGTTTAAGGTTTAGTGAATTTTAGGGTTTACGGAATGTTGGGGTTTAGGCTTTAGGGTTCAGGGGTTTAGGGTTTAAGGTTTTGGGGCTCAGAGTTTGGGATTGAGGCTTTCGCACATCTCTCAGTCAAATGGGGACTTCGAGAGCAGGCTGCCTCTTCGGAACCATCAAAGAAGGAACCCTAAACCCCTAAACCCCTAAGCCCACCGATCTTTGCAGGCTGGGGCCCCGACAAGCACCACAGGATTCCTCGGGAGTTGCTCCAAGTTGAACCCTCGCCCTGCCGGCCCTCAGGTAAAGAGAGCTATGGGGCAAACAGCAGTGCCGTGCAGGAGGGAGCTTCCTTTAAAGGGCTCTTTAAGGATATAGGGTTTCCGGAAATGGCCCTAAAATAGTACCCTAGATAGTAGGATCCTTTTTATAAGGACCCCAAAATCAGCGGTTTCAGGGGCGTTTGTTGACAGCCTTCTAGGTTCTGCTGCAAGTTGCTTTGTTTGAGTCTTTTCACATGCGGCTGGCGAGTTGCCTGAAGGAGCATCACGAACCCCTCGCAAAAGAGGCCCTTACTAACCCCTTCAGAATTACAGTGCAATCTGCCCCCAGATCCTTATGAATTTATTCAGTAAACACCCTTACAGAACCTTGTGAAGCCCCATACATAAGGCACCTTTATAAAGCCCTCTGCTGACATGCGCCAGTTCTTTTGGGCCTAAAGGAGCAGCTCAAGGACGTCTTGGAGGTTCAGGCCTCTGAGGTCGGAGCCAGCAAAATCCCAAAGACGCGGAGCCACCGCTGAAAATACCCCTAAGACCTTGCAGGGGTTTCAATTCATGAGGAAAGCGCTTTGAAGTCTAGGGTTTCATCTAGAACCCTGAACAGTCTGAATATATCCCAAGACACCGAACGGGTTTATAGGCTTCAGCAGCGATTCCATAAGATTTTTTGATGTTTAGGGCGTCATATAGAAGCCTGAATACCAAGATGATTCTATTGTGGTTCGTTGATATCACCACATTACAATATACACCGACTTCCTATTCTGATCGTTGAGACCCTTATATTGCCCCCGTCGAATCTCGATGTAACTTGATTCAACAAAACAAAGGTCTCAAGAGCCTTTTCTCCTGCTAAACCATAGGGTCTAGCATCAAGGGTTTAGTTTGGGGCAGCTTCTGAGCAATGCCCAGAGGCGGCTTTTGCGGCGATTCTTTCCAATGGCTCGGTGGTCACATGGGGGAACAAGCATGCCGGTGGTGGCTCGGAAGTGGCATCTTCTCGGGGAGCCTGAACCCTAAACCCGACACCCTTATCGGCTTCTAATTCCTTTGGTATTGGGGCTCTCTTGGTGCGAGGTCTTTGAGGATTTTCCCGTCGCTGTTTCTCCGGGTAGGGATGCAACGGCTAAGGTTCGAAAGGCTCCCGGTTTCCCTTTCGTATCTTGAAGATTTGTTGTTCTTCTTGATGTGTGGCATAAAGTCGTCGGGTTGGCTTCGTTATGTCCATGTCTTGGGCTCATCGAAATCTTTAGGGGGGCGACCTTGCCACGCTTTTCTCAGCATCGTGGTTGTTGGGTAGCACCTTCACGGGCTCTTCGAGCAACCCGCAGGACGACCGGCCTCTAAAATTTGAGGATGTTAGACTTTTTGGTTTTGGTTTTGGGGTTTTGAGGTGTAGGCTTTTAGGGTTTAGGGGGTTAGCGTTCAGGGGTCTCGGGATGCATAGGGATTTTTGTGTCCCTCCGTGCCACTTGGCTAGCATTTCCCCAAATTTATATCTTCCAACCTCCAAAGATGCCTCATGGACCGCATCAGTGCCGGCATAACTTTTTATAGTGATAGTACCGCTGTCCCCAACTCTGAAGCAAAAAACCCTACAAATTAAGCCCCAAACCCTAAACCCCACCACTTTGACCGTTTCGGCAGCGCGATGTCGAGGCAATTGCTCGCCAGTGCAGCAGCAGCTCGAAGAGACTCAGGAGCATCGTGCTTTCTATTCCTCGTTCTTCTCTGCTGGGACGGCTGCTGCTACTGCTACAAAGGTACTATATGAAGGGTACTAAGGGGCCATACTGAGGCTACTGCTACTACTGCTGCTACTACTACTACTACAACTACTACTACAACTACTACTACTACAACAACTACTACTACGACTACGACGACGACGACTACTACTACTACTACTACTACTACTACTACTACCAGTACTACTACTGCTATTACTACTGCTACTACTACTCCTGCTGCTGCCCTGGCTCCGAGCACAGAGTAAAACTGCTATTTGCAGACCTGTTGCATGGGCACTCCCCCCTGGTCCCCAAACGCCCTGAACCATGTTTAAAGCGACTGCGAATTGTTATACAACCCTGAGAAGGCATCCAAGCAGTAAGCCAAACCCCCTTATAGAACCATATAAAACCCGCTTATAGAACCACATAGAACTAGAACCCAAAGCCGTGTAGAAAACGCCTCGTAAGCCCTAAACCGGAACCGTAAACCCCAAACCCCCAACCCGAGAGAAAGAGCCCTAAACCCTAACCCCTGAGACCCTAAATCCTCAAACCCCTAAACCGATAACCCTAAACCTTGAACCCTAAACCACTAAACCCTAAGCCCTGAACTCTGAACTTTAAACCCTCAACCCCTGGACCCTTAAACGTTAAAGCCTAAGTCCTGAAAGCCGTTCCAGAAGGAGATTTGTGCTTCCTTGGGGGCTTTTGCAGCGCGCAGGAGCGATGGCACGGTGGTGACTTCGCTGTAAGGGCAAGAACACGGTTTGAGTTCCAGTTGCTTTTCTTGGTGTGGGGCTTGAAATTTGCCTGAAGGGATACAGTATGGTTTTAGTTCTAGGTTTACAGGTTTTGTTTTGTTGTAGGGGGCCTTACTCATTAGACTAGCATGTTTTTTTTGGGGGCGTGGTTTTTGGGGTTTTATCACAGAGTTTTATGTTTGGGTTTTTCTTTTCTTCCAGAAACGGACCGAGGTGAGTTGGGGCGATGCCCTCTTCGGCGGTGACAGCAGCGCGGTGCAGGTGCCTCCGGGGCGACAAGAAGGTTCGGAGAGTGAAGGGCCGGTTTAGGGTTCAGGGTTTAAGGGGGTTCGATAGAGACTCCTGGTAAGAGTCTAGGTGTGCTTCTGTAGCGCTGCGTCCGGTCCCCCGGATGAAACCGATGCCCAGCGCTGGGATCATAAGAGCTTCAACTGCAACCTTCCCTAGCACGTGTGCATGTCTTGGAGAGTAGATCTCCTTTCGTGCTGTGGGTCCATGGCCTTCCCTCCTACAACAGCCCCAACCCTAGTCTAGAAAGACCCGAAGCCCTAACCCTGAAACGCCGAGGCCCTAAAACCTTAAACTGAGTGATCGTGCCCCAGGATCATTGGGAGCTAAAAACAACACCGAAAAACCCTAAACCTCAACGTTCCCCAACTTCCCCGGAGAGGCATCTTTGAAGGATGTCCGTTGGCTCTATTCTTCCGGACACGCCTTTGCGGCTGTGTTGGGCGACGGCTCCGCCTCTCGGCTATTTGGCGTTTGGGGTCAAGGGGATAAGGGTTGCAGATTTGGGGGATAAAGGTTAAGGGTTTAGGCTATAAGCATTCACGGTTTTGCCGGTGAAGCCCTAAACCCTAAACACCCTAAACACCCTAAACACCCTAAACACCCTAAACACCTTAAACACCCTAAACACCCTAAACCCTAAACGGTTTAGGGTTTAGGGTCTAGGGTTCGGTATGCGAGGTTTGGGGCGTCTTGGGATTTGACCTTTTGGACCTCAGGTGTCGGACTTGAGATTTGGACCTCAGGTTTCGGGCGCATAGAGGAGACCCGGGATTGTGGTGTCGCGAACTTGGAAACACAAGTCCTGATACCAAAGGCAACATCTCGGGTTCAAAAAGCAGACGAGAAATTCACGCGATTGGTGTGGGGTTGGGGCAGCATGAAACTCTGATCTTCTCTTGTTTTCATGTCGGCTTAGGTCGTGACTTGGGGCAACGCGGCTTACGGTGGCGACAGCGGCGCGGTGAGCGCGGCGCTGCGCGGTGGGGCGTGAGACGGTGGTTCGTGTTTTCTGGTGGCCGGTGGCCGCTAGTGAGAGGTTTTAGGGATGGTTTAGGTTTGAGGGCTTTAGAGTCTTTAGAGGTTTCAGGGTTTTGGGGTTTGTGGACTAGGGTTCAAGGTGCAGGGATCAGGTCTAGGGCCTAGGGGCTTCCGTGTGCTACCAACACATTTTCAAGCTTCGAGTTTACCGAATTGTAAGTGAGGGCATACCTCACACATGGGTAGTTGTCAAAATTGTGGTCCCTTTTTGGGTCCCCATTATAATACGGCCTCTTTTTCTTAGGGTACCAAAAAAATATTAAAGGACCTGAATTTTGACAACCACCCACATGCCATGCCATGCCTCAACCGGAGCCTTTCTAATCCGCTCTTGGTCGGAGGCTTGGCATCTTTTGATCTGTGGCAAAAGTACGGGTATAGGGCTCCGCACGTGTTCGCACCAGTGCTGTTATACCGGGGTCTGCCATGGCAGCTTACTATTCCGGTATCCCTCCCTGACATTCCGAATCTGATTGCCGTAGAATGAGCGCATCCCCTAAACCCTAAAAAGTTTATTTGCATCAGAGTTCGAGCTTCTGCCCATTTCTACTACTATTCTCAATTCCCCCAAGGCCCAAACTATCCGTGAATTCAGGCCCTACAGCCCTGTAGCACCCGAAACCACCCCAAACATTCAGCATCCGAAGGTCCAAAAGGCCCGAGAGCCCTAAAGCACGAACTCCCCCAAAGCCTTAAGCCCTGTACCCTACAGCCCTCTACTTAAAGGATCATGGGACTTAGTAGCTAGGGTTATAATTAGGGTAACTATACTTATAACCCCAATTAAGGTACTTATACCCTTTTTTATACCCTTACTAAGTCCCATGATCCTCCAAGTATGGAAGCTTGGCCTGGTTTCAAAGTTCCCAGACCGTGGCAACGCGTTCGTCGTGGCCGCCGATGTTTTGAATCCGTGGCGGCAGTCACGAACGGGGTGAATATAGGGGCCTTAATAATTACCTATACCATTTTGGGGGTCCAAAGCCCTCTTCTAACCATTAAGGCCCCTACATTATCGGGAGTGGCCGGCTACAGAAATTTCAGTCAAGAAGGTCTCAAACTCATTCCGCAATACTAAATCCTAGGCTTCTCTTCTTGCTGGGCCAACCCCGCCATGCAGGCAATGCTCGGCCAACGCAAAGAGCAATTGCAGGGGAAAGAAAAGGGCTGAATCCTTGCTGTGTTTTTGGTGTTTCCACTTTTTTGTTCTCTATCTCTCTACATTGGTGTCTCAGTGTACCAGAGCTAGGTATAACTACCAACACAATTCCTACAGCTCCTTCTGTTTATAGTAGAACATACCCCGAAACCCTCATACAGCTATCAAGCCCCCAAAGCTAAACCCAGATTGTAATTCTTAAAGGAACCTCTTAAAGGAGCCTTAATCTAATCAACAAGGCGCCTATATTGCGAATGCAAGCATGTAAGACCCGAAGGCTTGGCTTAGATGAGGATGCTTTTAGGTATGTGCACCCTGGCAACAACAATAACAACACAAATAGTATTAATACCATGGATAGTACTTTCCTAAACCCCTAAATCCCTGAACCCTTAAACCCGAAAACCGGGGTGAAGAACGAGGGCAAAGTCTGAGAGAGGGGGTTTGTTTTCAGCCTTCCACAATGTGGATTCCACCGACCGTAACAGCAAGGAGGAAAAAGGCGTTCAAAAAAAAAAGCACTAAACCCTAGACCCTAAAAGAGGATGTGATCTTTGTGTAGGCCTCAATGAGGCAGGCTGACGCTGCACAACAGAAAAGGCCGTTGCACTTTAAAAAAAAAAAATTTCATAAACCTCAAAACCAGAACCTAACCTTCCCTCAACCTTAAACCAAAACCCTGTAAACCCTTACTTGGAGGGTCATGGGAACTAGTAAGTAGGGCTATAAGTACCTTAATTGGGGTTATAAGTATATCTACCCTAATTAGAACCCTAGTTACTAAGTGCCATGATCTTTTAAGTAGACCCTAAAAACCCTCTTATAATAGAACCCCTATAGATCCCTTCAAAGGAAGTGAGGCCCCTACATTATATTATGGCACCCTTATGAATCCCATATAGTAACCCTTATAGACCCCTTCAAAGGAATCCTATTCTAATCATTAAGGCCCCTATATTACACCTTCAGTAGCCCCTGCTGTCACAATCGCAACACCCGGGTTTGCGCCATGCCAAAGGGGAAAAGGAGGGACCCTTAATGGGGACCCCTGCCGTATAATGGGCTATATAATGGGTATATAATAGCTACTAGGATGCCCAGTAGTACCCTTATTCCCTTTCTGTAGTCCTAGGTTCCTTATAAAGTTACCCAATACCAAGAAGAGAGGCCTTTTTATTCTTAGGTTACTGGGTATCCTAGTAGTGGGCTATATAATGGGTATATAATAGCTATATCGAGGGTATACCCCAAACCCTAAACCCTAAACCTTAGGGGTCCTCACTAAGGGTATATACCTAGGGGTCCTTATTAAGGGTCCCTCTAATGGGTATATAATAGCTATATTTATTAGCCCCGGCAGGCCTTGAGCAGCTGAAGCTCGAGAACCCGCCGGCGGCCTCCGGATTCACGGCGGTGGCAGGCGCTAAAACGGGGGGAGTTAGTAACTAGGGTTCCTTAAAGGGATCTATAAGGGCTCCTTAAAGCGATCTATAGGGTTTAGTTTAGGGTTTAGGGTCTACTTGGAGGATCATGGGATTTAGTAAGTAAGACTATAAGTACCTCAATTGGGGTTGTAAGTATAGCTTCCCTAACTATAACCCTAGCTACTAAGTCCCATGATCCTTTCAGTAGTTCTATAGGGGTGGATCTGTAGGGGTTCCTTTAACGGGTTCTATAGGGTTTCTTGGGTTTTGAAGGTTTGAACATAGGGTTCTGTAAGGGTTCCTTTAAAGTGGTCTAGAAGGGGGATTTAAAAGGTGGACTGTTGGGTTTAAAGGGTTGGGAATAGGGGTTTAGGGGTTTCTAGGGTTCCTTTGAAGGGATCGCAGTTCCTTTGAAATGGATCAAAAGGGGTTCCGTTAAAGGGATCTATAGGGGTTTCTTAGGGTTGCCTGGGTTGAGAATCAGCGGCTTATAAGGGTTGTATAAGGGTCTTTAAAGGGATCTAACATTTTTTTCTTGGGGGGGTTTAAAGGGTTGACAATAGGGGTTCGGGGTTTAGGGTTCTGTAGGGGTCTACACCTTTCACCCTAAAGCCGAAAAATCTAGGGTTTAGGGCTCTGGGGTTTAGGGGCCCTGCACCCCGGACCCTGGAATACCAACCCAAGACCCTAAATTAACCCTTCATCCTAAGCCATGAAGTGCCAAAACAAATGCGAAGCCCTAGGCCCCGAGCTGTCAGTACCCCAAACCCTAAACCCTAAACCCTAGACGATAAACCTTAAACCCTAAACCCTAAACCTTAGACCCTAAACCTTAAACCCTAAACCTTAAGCTTAAGCCCTAAACCCTAAATCCTAAACCTTAAACCCTAAAAAAAAACCCTACCGCCTTGGGACCGGAGATTCGAGCTGCAAGAAACAAGGAAGGTAGTCTAGTGCTCGCCATGGCCTCAAAGATCCATGGGTGTAGGGTTTGGGGATTAATGTGGGAACCTGGTTAAGAAACCCAGGCCCTATACCCCCAATATATTGGGGTTCATGTAAGGAACGCTTAAGAGGCCCAAGGTTTCTTGATCAGGTTCCTACAGTAGTTGGGGTTTAGGGTTTATGCCCCGAGCTATCCAGATTCTTATTAAACCCTCAACCGACGCCGAAAGCCGTAAACCCTCAACCCTATAAACCCCGTGTAGAAACCTTTCCTTCGTATGGACACGACGAACCATGCAAAAACACCATGACACCCTGTTTATTGAACAACCCGTGCATAAAACCAAACCCGTGCCTTAACCCGAGACCTTAAATACGAAACCCCTAAACCCTTAAACCCCAAATCGAGCCGAGGACATATTATACCCTTATAGTAGCCCATAGATTACCCCTAAAGCTCAGAATAGAGAGTTCTAGGGTCTCCCATCCCAGCGCCGAAGCGCAGTTCAATCTGTCTCCAAGCAGAATGCGCATGGCGTTTGAAAAAAAAAAAGATCCCCGAAACCGAAACCCTGTTGAGGCCTTTCCTTGGGAGAGTACACCGCCTTAGCGGCGGCGGGCACGCCGGACGCCTCAGCTCTTGGACTCTTCCGTTGGTCCAGGATTTGAGTTGTTAGGGTTTGGGGTTAAGGGTTTAGGGTTTAGGGTTCAGGGTTTAGGGTTGAGGAAGGATTCCTGTAAGGATTTCTACAGGGGTTTGTACTAGGGAATTCCTTGTGGTTTCCGTGTAGGGTTTCTAGGCTTTTAAACAGGGATTCCGGTTTTCAGGGCCTTCCTTCCCAAATAACCTACTTTTAAAGGACTTACATAAAGAAATCATATTAGGGAACCCTGAAAAAGTAGGTTCCTTAGGGTCCAGGTCGGGGTTGGCATGGCAAGCAGAAAGCCGTTCCTTCTTATGGGTGCTTGCATGTCGTTCCGAATAAACCAGAAGTTGAACCCAATTCTCTTCTTCAGCGGCGCGGCTCGTGGGTACAATTTACTTGCTGTTTTTGTTGGTTATGTTTTTGTTTTTGATAGGGTTGTCAAAGCCTTTTCTTTTTGGTTGGGGGGGGGTGGGGGTAGAGTGGCGGGTGGGGACTGACCGCCCCCTTCTTCTCCTCTTCTTGCTGTTCTTTTTCTAGTGGTGGCTTCTGCGGCCCGCCTCTCTGCAGTCATGGCGATCTTACCGGCGCTTATGAGGATCTTGATCTCTGCAATTCGGTGCTTCCGGTTTTCCCGATCCTTGCCTCATCAATGGCAGTTTTTTGTGTACCAGAAAATCCCAAGTGCTCTAAGCACTCAGTTTCCTCTATTCCGTGTCATTCCTTTGTAGTTTGAGGCTTGCTGTCCGCCCTTTCAAATTGCGAGCCCAAACCCGTGTTG